GTTCTTGTAGTAACAGTCGTTCTGCCTATGTTGTTTTATATTTTTCCTGTAGGTCTTTCTTTTAAGAAGTATCTTCTGTTCTTCTGGCCACTCCAGGTTGGTCTGCTTGTCCTTTCAAGTGTGAATTTCCCATCTCTGGAGATCTGGATGTGGTTCAGGCTTCCACCTATAGTCTTATGTATTGGTCACCAGGTTCTACTCCTCTCCATACATAGTTAGTCGTCTTCATTGGGTTCGCTGATCTCTTCATACACTACATGATACTTTCTTTCACGCAGCCTGTGAGACCAAATGTTAGTCTCCTTTTTCATGGGTTCTGGGATCTGTTGATTATGCTGACCTAAGGGTGTTGGCTGTTCCTTAGGCTGTTCTGCGCCAGACGTTTTCATCAAGGCTGCTGTCCCTGGCATTGCTTTTAGACCATTTTCATTCTGTGATGTCTTCTTGGACTTCATCTTTTCAATGTGAGTGTCCCATATAAACTTCAGGAGTTTGCTCAGTTGTACACTGGAAGCCATCTGAGGTGGTTCTTCCTGGTTCTCTTCGTCATCAGAGTCATCCATCTTTGGGGTCCATATATTAGTATGCATGAAAGATGGGGTGGAAATATTGAGACCTAGATTAACTATGGCATCAAAAATTCTCTTCATATATGCATGGGTGACTTTCTCAAAGTCTCCCATCTCTTCCCAGTCTTCTTTAGAGAAGTATTTGATAATATCCTTGAAAGCCTTTCTCTTCCTATCAGACTTCTGGGTATCATGCTTAGAGGTATTGGCAGAAGCAGTGCCAATGTTCATGGTACTTGTTGCCAAGGGATACAGTCCGAATCACTGGCACAACACCAACACTTCTTACCACCTGTGGAGTAGATGTGAAGCAGTGAAAAGTCTGTCCATAGCTTTTAATGAAACACACAATCAAAAGCTTTTGCATAGCCAACAAAGTACAGGCAAACATCTTTCTGGTATTTCCTGCTTTTAGCCAAGACTCATCTGACGTCAGCAGTGATATCCCTTGTTCCTCATCCTCTTCTGAATCCTGCTTAAACATCTGGGATTTCTCTGTCAATGTATGGTTGTAGCCACTTTAGTATTATCTTTGGTAAAATTTTACTTGTGAATGATAGCAATGATATTGTTTGATGATTTCTGCATTCTATTTGGTCACCTTTCTTTGGAATGTGCACAGATATGGATCTCTTCCAGTCAGTTGGCCAAGTAGTCATCTTCCACATTTCTTGGCATAGATGGTGAGTACCTTCAGTGCTGCATCAGTTTGTTGAGAGATTTCAATTTGTATTCCATCAAATCCTCTGACTTTAAGGTTCAAACTGACCTCTCAGTCCAGCGCATTATCCCACAGTGCCACACCAGGACTCCTTAGTTCCCTCAGTTTGAAAAATGCTGAGTGTGTTTTTCACCTTTGATTTTCTAACTCCAGGTGTTTACACATTTCATTATAATATTTGACTTTGTTTTCATGAGCTGCCCTTTGAAATTTTCTGTTCAGCTCTTGTACCTCTTCATTTCTTCTATTTTCTAGGATCTCTATGCAGGAGAGCAAGTTTCAGAGTGTCTTCTGACATCCATTTTGGTGTTTTCCTTCTTTTTTGTCTTCTGAATGATCTTTTGCTTTCTTCCTGTATGATGTTCTTGATGTTATCTCACAACTCTTTGGTTCTTAGATATTTAGTGTCTAATGCATCAAATCTGTTCTTCAGTTGATCTCTAAATTCACATGGGATATGTTCATGGTCATATTTTGTCTCTTGTGGACTTTAATGTTCTTCAGCTTCAGCCTGAGCTTGCATATGAACAATTGATGTATGGTCTGTACCACAGTCTGCCCCTGGCCTTGTTTTGGATGATGATATGGTGTTTTCCACTAACTATTTCCACAAATATAGTCAATTTGATTTCTGTATATTCTATCTGATGAGGTCGATGCATCTTTTATGTTGTTTTAAAAGATATTTGGAATGAACAAATCATTGATCTTGCATAATTCTGTCATGCAATCTCCAGATTGTTTCTGTCACCAAAGCCATAGCTTCTAATGACTGATCCTGCCTCCTTGTTTCCAACCTTTGCATTCCAATCACCAGTAATGATCAAAAGATCTTGATTGTATGTTTTATCAATTTCAGACTGAAGAAGTTGGTAAAATTCTTCAATTTCATCACCACTAACTTTAG